CCCCAGTCCTGCGCCGGTGCCCGGGCAGAAGGCACGGCACCAAAAATGCACTCGCACAGCCCCGTCGCCCCCAAGCTTGTCACACGGGGAAGATACTCACGGATGCTCATGTCGTGTGGGATGGGCATCGACTGCTGCCAGAGCACGTCCCCGGAGTCCATCAGCCGCTGCTCCGGCAGCAGCTTGATGACACTCGCCCCGCCAACGTCATCGCAGCGGAGGAGCGGGGCAAAAATGGGACTCGCACCTCTATAACGCGGCAGCAGCGATGGGTGGAGGTTGACGGTGTGGGGCAGCCGCCTCAACAGTTTTTTTGGAATAAAGTACCGAAAGGACACCACCACGGCCACATCAAACGCCTCCAATGGCTGACCCAAGATGTAATGATCCTCCCACTCCTCTCCCAGCAGCCGGATCCCCGCCCCACTGCTGCTCCGCCCGCCTGCCCGCCAGGGGCGAAGAAGATACTGCAGCGTCGTACTCTGTGCCATCGAGGTTGGGTGGTCCACTGGTATCAGCGGGATGCCGTGCTGAACGCAGTAGCGGGCCACAGGGTACTGTCGGCGGTGGCGTTGCGAAATGGCACCGGGATCAGCAGGCAAAAAGGGACACACAACGACTAACTGTTGTTTGCCCTCAGCCGTCTTTGCCAGTTGCGGCTGGCTGGCGTGCAGCGGTCCTTCAGCCGGGGCGGCAACAGCTTCTGTCCCCTGAATACATTCAAGCCGCTCGCGCAACATTTTGAGAGCCACCAGAGAAACGATATCCCCGCCGAAGAAAATGATGGATGGGGCCTTGGGCACCCCACCCCCAGCCGCACCGCCACCGCTTTCGTCCTCGCCCCTGCCGCCTGTGGCGCGGGCCGTGCAGCGCCAGCGGAGGGAGGCAGGGCCGCGGCAGTGTGGCACGAAGCCGCGTCGCCGCAGCAGCGAAGAGAGGCCTGGCGCCATGCATGGGCACTGCTTCGGCGAGCAGCGCAGCATGTGCACGGGCGAAGCTTGGAAGCGTCTTGCGTGTTGTATGTGAAGAAAAATATTACAAAGGCGTGAGAGACCTAAAAGGAAGTTTTGCTCCCCTCCACCAAAACCCCTGGTGCAGCACGCCTAAGGAATGTACGAAAAAAAAAGAAAACATAGCCTCCCTCCAATGCTCGGAGAGAACTTCACACAGGCACAGAAAGAGAGAGTGGCGTCTGCACCCCGCAGACTCCCCACCGCGTGCCCCCACCCACCCACCCATCCAAGCAAGAAATCTGAGCGTCAGGTCCTCCCCGCACCTCCCGCGGACACGCGTGGGAGGCACGGCCACGGCAAAAACGACAGCACAACGCTGTGAAAGCGCACAATGAAACCAAATAAAACGCTGCAGCCTTCGTTAAAGGTTTTTTGGCTCCTTCTGTGGGATGTGCGCCTGCATCCTCACTTGCCGCCCATCCCCACGCGCAAAAAAAAAGGAGGCCCGTCCTCCTCCTCCCCGTTTGCTTTTGCGCGAGAATTGGCACTCGCCTTTACGAAAGCCGCCCGGCTTGCCAGCCCTGCGGCGGGTACTGCTACCGTCAGCCAACCCCGCCCATGAACGCAAAAGGAGAATGTGCGGGCGCCTTCAGCATCAAACTGTACACGCTGAATCCGGAAGAGGAGGCCAGAAAAGAAAGCAAAGCAAACGAGGAAAAAAAAATAGTGGAGTGTGACGGTGGCGCCGCTGCCATCGCAAGGATGTGCAGCAGATGAAGAATGGGCGGCTGGCGGTTCCCATCGAATCGCCAACAGAGAAATATATGAGTTAGCTATAATTGGGCATTTTCAGCGTGAATAACATTAATAATAATAATAGTAATAATAATAGTAATAGTAATAATAATAGTAATGGTATTATGATCCGTGCGCATGTGCGGCATCGCTGCCGCCCTGCGGAGGAATATACTTGAGGCCACGAAGTTTGACGAGCTTCACTTCACTCAAGGTCATCATCCTGCACGAGCCCGCTCCCTTCCGCCGCCTCGGAGTCCTTGTCGCTGTCACTGCCCGAAGCTGCGTTCTTGTTGACCAACTCCAGCCACGTCGCGGGCTTCTCCTTCACAAGCCGCAGGACAACCTGGCCACTCGACTCCTTCACCTTGTAAGTGCACTCCTCCGCCTTGACGGTCTTGCAGAGGTGCAGCAAAAGTTGCTTCTTGCGCCGCAGCGTGGTGGACTTGGCCGACACCACGCTTGCCACGTACGACACAGTCAACTTCCGCCGCTGGAAATCCACCTGCAGCGTCTCGTCCAGCAGCGGCT